AGTCTGCTTTGGGTTTCAATCTGAATGTTAAAGAAGCCAGCTAAATCTTATTTCCTAATCCTAGGTCATCTACACCATAGAATTAATGCACTTTGACACCTGTGCTGTTGAATCCTGGGAGTTGTCATTTGGGGAGGCACCAGCCATCTTTGGCAGGAAAGGCTAAAGACCTTGAGAAACTACACTTCCCCACAACTCCATTGCATTGAGCCTAGGCAGTTAAAGTGGTGTCAAACTGAATTAATCCTACAGTGTATATGCACCCCCTGCGCCCTCTGGCACAGTGGGTTAAAACTCTGAGCTGCTGAACTTGCTGACCAAAGTTTGGCAGTTCAAATCTAGGGAGCGGTGTGAGCTCCCACTGTTCCCCAGCTTCTGCCAACCTAGCAATTTGAAAAAACATGCAAATATGAGTAGATTAATAGGTACTGCTTCTGCAGGAAGATAACAGCGCTCCATGCAGTCATGCTGGCCACATGACCTAGGAGGTGTCTATTGACAAAGCTTGCTCATCGGCTTAGAAATGGAGATGAGCAGCACCCTCCAGAGTCAGACAAGACTAGACTTAATGTCAGGGGAAACCTTTATTTTACCTTTTAGACGCAGCCCCTATTTGCAAAATAGGTTCTTGACTAGCTTGTTTAATGTTTGAATTTAGACATGGGGTGGAAGCTACCAGTCTCCACTGACTGGAGCAAATTAAAAGTGAGCCTTTGAGTCTTGGCATGTTTATTTAGGCAGGGTGATGGCCGCTGATGACTATAATGCTGCTATCCTTAGTCACCATTATTGCATGAAGTAATGAGAATTATAATCCAACACATCTGGAAGGAGGCAACTTTAGAAAGGCTGTATTGCTGCGTATGTAGCTATTTCACCAAAACCAGTATCCTTGCACACAAGCAGACTACGTTCCACTTTCTTTGGGAGCATTTACACTGAAGAATGAATGCAGCTTGACACCACACTGACATGGCTCAATGCTATGGAATCCTGGGAGTTATAGTTTGGTGAGGCACCATCACTCTTTGACAGTAATGGCTAAAAACCTTGTAAAATTGCAACACTCAAGGCTGCACAGCAAGTGATTCTACAAGTGTAGATGAATCTTTTTATTTTTCTCATTAAGCCAATTAGGCCAATCTACAATTAATTGTGAGAGCATCTGTTTGGATAGATTGTAAATCATTGCCATCCCTTGCAGGTGATGAAAGGCCTCTAGCAAAATCGTGCTGCTTTGGAAACTGGCTGGTTGCCACTGATTTCCCTAGCTTCTTGTCCATGTATTTTTCCATACAAGTCATGTGGTTTTTACATTTTCAAAAGAAACAACACACACAAGCACATGACCTTGCCTTCAGATAGCACGTTCTGATGTTGGAATGGGTGTACACTCAGGCTGTTCTTTTTATACTGTTGCTTGCTGGAATTAAATTTGAAAATGTACTTGGATCCTCAAGAAAAGGAGATTCATTTCCAGATACATTCTCACGCATGCACATGGTTCACTGATTCAAAAGACGTGACCCTCCTATTGAAGCAGAAAAGCCCTACTTCTACTTTCTCTTGTCTAGGATTATAGTTAAATGTTAATTTTATAAAATGACATGGAGGGATCCTATAATTAAAGCTTTAGCTTGCATTTGAAAGAGAAACATGCTCATTTGTCCTGTTTGAACATTCAGTTAGAAGTCATGCAGCAAGAAGAAAGTGAGATAAAGAGAGAACGGAATAAAGCACATTTTATTCTGTTCATGGTAGGATTTTAGAAGGGAGGCATCCTGAAACCACTCAGACTCATAAGTCTCATAGGAGTCTCTTGGGTTCTTTAATTGTAAGGAGTTTCAGGTTCAGCAGGTTCTTCTTTCACTGGCCACTTGATTGAAGTAGATTTGTGTATATTTTTGGAGTTATAGCCAACTTGTGTTGATGTTAACAGCAAGATCTATAACTGGCATAATTCCGTACAGGAAGAGGAAGGGAACTCGTGGTTTTTCTTTTGGTATCAGGCCATGCTAAAAAAAAAGGAATACATATTTGCAAGTGCATTTTTACAGGAACATAAAGGTCACAACAGCCAGCATGATGTAGTGCATTGAGTGTAGGAGTATGACTTTGGAGTCCTGGGTTTGAATACCTGCTCAGCCATGGAAACCCACTTTGGCAAGTCATATTCTCTCAGCCTCAGAGAAAGGCAAAGGAAAACCCACTCTGAACAAATCTTGCCATTTTTTTGTCTCAGGAGTGACTCGAGAAACTGCAAGTTCCTTCTGGTGTGAGATAATCGGCCATCTGTAAGGATGTTGCCCACAGAACGCCCAGAAATTTTACCATCCTGTGGGAGGTTTCTTTCATGTCCCTGCATGGGAAGCTGGAGCTGACAGACAGGAGCTCACTCTGTCTCGGTGATTCGTGTTATCAGAAAATACACTATCAGGGTGTGATGAGGAATTACTGCTAATACATTGATTGAAAGAAGGTTTCAATGCCAGCTCTTGCTTGGACCATGGTGGTATGAGACAATGATTCAATGCAATTTTTGATAAAATTATGTTATATATAGAGAGGGGGGGGGGAGTTTTTTCATGAGGGAGGCATGGTAACCCAGACCCCAAAGGGGATTTCAGGTGGAATTATGTAGCTAAGTGAAGGGACATTATCATTATTAGTATCCCTTACATAGGGGAGACACCATTGTGTCCTTGGTGCAGAGGTGCAGGAATGGCAATGGACCACTAGGGGGGACTGGCAAACCATACCTCCGAAGGGAACATGGCAGATTCCAGTCCTCTGACACTTATGTTTCACACCTTTCTGGCAAGGGGATGCAAGGGGCATCATGACCTGGGACTGATAGTAGGTTGTAGGCTACCTCACCTTAGGATGAGCTCACCTCTAGCCAATCACTCTGCCAATGATGTAATCCAACTCACTGTTACTATGCAAGCTTTGCAAAGAGCACAAGAAAAGATATATAAGCAGCTTGGCTGATCAATAAACTTTGAGATCACCATCACCCTCCTGGACTGCCTATCTTCTTTATCGTCACTACAGCTAAGCATAGAAACTACAACAGGAATGTAGACTCTGATGACTCCCATGCCAGTGGAATGATGCATCTTCTCAAGGTTATAATCTGCACTTTCAGTGAGCAGCCCAAGGGTGCCACACCTATGTTTTATGATAGGGTTCAGCACCATAGATGGCCCCTTGAAAGTTAGGATTAAAACATGGAATGGAGTCACTGCTTTACTGACATCAAAGCCATCAGTTGCTAGTGGTAAAGTCTTGAGGGGGGAAAACCACAATGAGTGGTCTAGTAAAGCTATAGGTATGGATCATTGTGCACTAGAAAGCAAATATTCCACCTCTAGAGAGAGAAAGAAATGTGGCCACATGATTTTATATTAACAGTTTTTTCACTGGACAATACCATCCACAGGTTACAGACCTGCAATAACAGTACTCCCAATTTCACTTACCTGCATCTGAAAAAAATAAGTTCTCTCTAGGTATTTTCTAGGTTGCCCAGCATGGTTGTATGGTATGCGTCCACCAGAAGTTGACTACAGAGTCATGCTGGTGGACCTAGAAATGCTAAAAAGGAGAGAAAATATGTTCTAAATGCATTTTATGTCTTCCATTACAATGCTATGGTATGCTTCCACCAGAAGTCTTTTGTTTCAGTGGGGTTCATTATTATATGCAATTTCAAATTTCTGCAGTAAGTCTTGGAACGAGTCTCCTATGGATATGGGAACTGTACTGTATTGTGCTTTTAAAACGTTGGTGACAAGGTGATATATAAATTAAACAATTACTTTAGTAGACCACAATGATTTCCTATAAAGCAGTGGTTCCCAGCCTTTGGGCCTCCAGGTGTTTTGGACTTCAATTCCCAGATATCCCAGCCAGCTTACCAGCTCTTAGGAAATGTGAGAGCTGAAGTACAAAACACCTGGAGGCCCAACGACTGGGAACCACTGCTATAAAGGGAACAGCAGAGTGATATGGGGATTTGTTCTCTTCCCAGATTTTGATCTTTTTTTCTGCTGTTTCCAGATAATTCATATACACCAAAGAAGGTGATGGAAGGGTTGTTTGGAGACAGAGAAATCTTTCTACCTTTTCTTTCCAAAAAGCCCGCAATTTAGCTGTTCTGCCAAACCTTTCTAGGGCAGCAGAGTTCTTTTCCATGCTTGCTTATTAGTGCTTTAATGAAAAAGGAATTTCTGTGTCCCAGGTCACTGAAGACTCACCTCCTTTCTCTTGAAGGAGAGAGGACACAGGCTGGAATTTGCAGAATGGCAATAAATAGATGCATTACATGAATGTTCTTAGTAAGCACTTCATGGGTTTATGATCCAGATATATCAGAGAAGGAGAATACAACATTGTTATATCCAGTTTTCTTAAAAGTATGGGTTTTGTTCTGTTTTTGCTTAAAGTGTTGGGCATATCTCATTTTAGCAAATAATTGTACACATACAGAGATATAGTATCATAGATTTGAAAGGGACCCCTAAAGAGGCACAATTATATGTTGCATATTCCAGAGTAGGCAAACCACACAATCTCCACATCAACACTGACAAAGAAACATCAAGAAACACTGTTTACCCAAAGGTATAAAGGAGGCTCATACACCAGATTTTTGTCCTTGCGGCCCACTGGTGGTCCACAGCCCGCAAGTTAAGAACCACTGATCTATACTATAGAATTAATGCAGTTTGACAGCACTTTCAGTGCCATGACTCAATGCTATGGAATCCTGGAAGTTGAAGTTTGGTGAGTCAGCAAGACATTGGATTAAGCCATGGCAGTGAAAGTGCCGTCAAGCTGCATTAATTCTACACTGTAGATAATGCTTTGTCTCCCTATCAAAAGCAAACAACCATGGGTTTGCATTTTCCAGTCCTGCTTTATAGCAATAGAAATTCTGATTTCAGAACATATTTTGACATTGTAAATTAATAATATTTTCTCTTGGATGATTGCAGACTGTGGAAGATATCGATGTTTCCCAGGAACAAGATTAATCAATGGGCAGAGATCACATTCCGGAAATGGACTATAGGTGGATACAACATTGCATCATTCAAGGTGTGCGGCACCATTAACTTTGCTTTCTTCATCCATCATGGACATCCAGCTCCAGAAAGACACTGCAGCTCAAGTCATGACAGGAATTATAATTATGAGCACTGTCTGGCTTGTTCTCACTGATATGACTATTAAGAAAAATGTACTATAGGAGATTTGGTTTGCCAATAAAACTATTAAGGAATCTTCAGAGATCAACTCAGGATTACATGTAGAACTACGATCAATGAGCATCAGCTACTATTTGGATTGTGGATGATCCAGAACTTTTTGGTTTTTGAAAAAAATATTTTCCTTGTATTGATCCCATCCTATAAATCTTTGCCACGGAAGCTTTCAAGACTGTTGGCAGACTTCTGTATGACTAATGCTGCACAAAGCATTGAATGAGAATTGAATCTGAATACCAGTCATATCTGGCAGAAGACTAATATGATTAATAGTACTGGCCAGTTGTTCTGAACACTCCTTCAAAAATATTGGATGTTCACAAATATTTTTTGTCTTTCAGATTGTTTTGAAATTTCTGTCATAAATTATTAACATGCCTGCATATTTACCACCTATACTTCTGTATAAGATGATCTAATGTAAGTCAAGGACAGATTTTGGAGCCAAAATTATGGATTTTGATAAGATGCATGGATAAGTTGAGGATCATTCTGTGGAGACAGGAAAACACAAATTTTGCCTCAGGAGGACAGCTGTCCTTTGACAATGTTGCCAGTGTTCCCCACCCTCATATTCAAAAAAGCCTGAAATGGTTCTGGGACAGATAGAGTAGATATGGTCAGTGTATCTTTCAGGTTCTTCCTGGGTGGACTATTGCAGGGGTCCTCAAACTTTTTAAATAGAGGTCCAGTTCACAGTCCCTCAGACTGTTGAAGGGCTGGACTATAGTTTGGAAAAAAAACCCACAAATTCCTATGAACACTGCATATATGTTATTTGTAGTGCAAAAAAACATGAAAGAACAATACAATATTTAAAATGAAGATCATTTATTATGAGCATAAACTTAACAGTGTTTCAATGGCAAGTGCGGGCCTGCTTTTGGCTAAAGAGATGGTCAGGTTAATTATGATTGTTGTTTTTGTGTATCTTCAAATCATTTGAGACTTAGGGAGACACTAAGTCTATATAGTTTAGGACGGAGGGCAGGTCAATGACCTTGGAGGGCCGCATTTGGCCCGCAGACCTTAGTTTGGGGATCTCTGGACTATGGTCTTGCTTTTCGCCACTCTACTCAAGGAACCCTGGTCCCTTGGAGTCCTAGTCTGACACTCAGAACATTACCCAATGCTGTCTGTGTGCACCCCTTGATATGCTAGAATAGATTTCACTCAACTAACTTTATCGATGAATCAGATGTAAAATAAACCACATGTATTTCATGTGTGATCAGCCCACACACTGCCTTGCCAGAGAAAGGAAATATGCCATGCAGATGAACAATAAAGAACAAGTAGTTTACTCTTTGTAGCTCAGAACAACATATGTACATCAACTCACATAATGACCTTTTATGAGAGATTTTAAAATAGTCTTTCTTTATCAATGTGGGATAAACTCCTTTAGCAGCTCATGAAGCAAGAGCACACTTCAAACTGTCTCTGCGCTCTTCTCTCTGAACACCTTCATAGCTCAAGCCTGAACAAAAATGTAACAGTAGCCAAAAGTCCCAGGCTCAGCCATCTCCCCAAGCATTGACCAATCAATCAGTTTCTTGTATCTTATTTTACAGTTGACACACGCACATTAACTGATTTCTTACATGCTGCAACATCAGACGTGTGCTGTTAAGTTGCAAAGGTTAAGGCACACACTTGGGTTGTTAGCTGAAATTAATGCTGGTGCTTCTGTCATTTTAACGATGATGCAGAAGAGAGAAATAGGTGTTTGTCAAATGCCTGCATGACAAGGAACACGTGCTGAACTTCCCTCTTCTACACAACCATTAAAGGGATAGGAACCTTGTCCCTTATTTCACTTGGCAGCCCTAGCACACATGTTCCTGACAACACAGTGTGTCTGGGGTCAGTGGGGTGGGTGCCTTGGAGAAATGTACAGTGTGAAAGCTCTTTGCCAGGGTTATCTGTCTTCCCTCTTTTACACTCTAGCACTGTTTGAAAATTTTAATGAAGTCAGTCTTTCTGCTCCCTAGAGTGAAATCCTCAGTCATTACAATGGCTAGAGAATCATTCCCGCTGAGCTGAAATGTTACTATTTTGAGAAGGTTAATTAGCAGATTACTAATGAGGAATGACTTAATAATAGCAGCTGTTTCAGCTTCAGGATCTTCCAATACTCCCAATGTGGCGTTTCTATTTATTATCCCATTGAGAAGGATTTGTGGGATAGAAATGTATTGTATTTTGTAGCACCAAGGATTTTAGTAACACTTAGAGAATCTGCCTACAATTACACCAACACTGGATATCCTGCCCTCAAGAGATGGGAATAGCATGGAAGCAAAAAAAGCAGGTGCTGTGGAGGAATGAAGTAAATAGCTGTTAGCAGGCAAGAGAGCTGACAAGTGCTCCTAGAGATTAAGACAATTACCCAGCTGTTGAAACATGTTGGAATATTTCATGCAAGGATGTCTGAAAAGGCTCCTTCATGTACCTTACAACAGTGCTTCTCAATTGTTGCTCCTCCTGACTTTTTGGACATCTCCCAGGAGTCTCAGCCAGCCAGGAGTTTTGTGGAGTTGAAGTCAAAAACATCTGGAGAGTTAAAATTTGAGAAGCACTGTGTTGCGAGTCATTTAGAGCCATGACATACCTAACAGCTGGCTTTCAATGGTGCAAATTATGGAAAACAAGATCTCATTCTGTTCCATTCAGTGGCAGCTTATTATCATTTTATTCCCCATAAACCATAGAATATATTTTATTGGTACTGTAACCATAGACAGATAAACAGGCAAAATGGGAGGGAAGGGAAGGATAAAAATCCCCAAGTTTAAAAATAAAACTGCAATAGTAAAAAAAGTCTGTTTACATAGAGTTCTATGAGAATTAGTGAAATATGCAGATAAACAGCCATATGATATTGAGGTCTCTAATACTCCTTATTTGGTGGTGTTGTAAGTTCCTCCAAAGCCACAGGATCTGATGCCAGCTGTATCTTTCTAGGAAGGAAGAAATAAAGCTTTCTAGGGAAGAGCTTAATTGCTGGACATAAGATCAGACAGGAGTCGCAATGGCAGCTCAAGTCACAGCTGCAGCTTAAGCTGATCCACATATGGTTCTTTTCTTCTTTTTTTGAGGCATGCCTGTGGGTTGAACTCCAGCTAGCTCTGGGAAATGAGGCTGCAGTAAAATATAGTATCTTCAGAATCTACAAAGCCTTCATGTCGCCAAGGAGAGTGATAAGCCCTTAATGCTGGTATTGCAGAACAGAAAGGTGATAGACATGGACGCAACACGTATTTCCCCTCCTGCTGCCACTCTTCTCGTTTGGCCTTCCCAGGATAGCTGAGAATGAATTGTTGCTGGAAGTGAGTTGTCGCCTGGAATTTGCTGCTCTTGAAATATGCCTCGCAAAGTCCTGTTGTGGGATAGGACTGTTGCTGTTTTTAAATTACAGTGACAATGGGATGTCAACAGTATAGTGGCTTTCAAGGACAGGAACTGAAAACATGTCTAAAATGAGAAAGATCTAAGCAAGATGGGCTGAGATGTTGATTTATATGGTGTAAGACATACACATAGACATTTCTATGTTGTTTTCTATGCATCAAAAACATTGGGCTGCACAGTGGGATCTTAGTATCCGCTTGGGTTTGATTCCAGAATTCCCAGTAGATACCAAAATCCTTGGGTGTCCAAGTTCCATTAGATCAGTGGTTCTCAGCCTGTGGGTCTCCAGGTGTTTTGGCCTACAACTCCCAGAAAACCCAGCCAGTTTACCAGCTGTTAGGATTTCTGGGTGTAGAAGGCCAAAACATTTGAGGACCCAACAGGTTAAGAACCACTTTATTAGATATACTAGCATAGTAAAATAGTATTCAGTAGATAAAATGGCAAAATCAAGGTTTGTTTGTTTGTTTTTATTTTTGATGTGTGTATATGTGTATGATATTTCCCAATCATGGATGGTTACACCTATGGATACAGAGGGCTGACTGTATATCCCTAAAGAGAGCAACAGTACTGTGAGGCTGCCCGGAATCCCCCCTCAGGGGTGAGAAGGGCGAGGTACAAATGTAGGAAATAATAATAATTTCAAATGAGGATATATAACAGGAATGGGCAAACCCAGGCACGGGGCCAGATCTGGCTCTTTTCTCAGATCCTCCTCTCACCATCTTTTCCTTTCTTCTGTCTTTCCTTACTCCTTCCCTCCCCATCCCTCTTTTTCCTCCTTCCTTTCCCTCCACCGTTTCGTCTGTCCTTCCTTTCCTCTCTCCTTCCTTTCTTCACTTTTGTCTTTCCTTCCTTCTCTCTTTCCTCCCTCCCTCCCTTCCCTCTCTCTTTCTCCTTCTCTCCATTCCCTTCCACCCTCCCTTCCCTCCCTCCTTCCCTTTCTCCCTCCTTCCACCCTTTTGTCTTTCCTTTCTTCTCCTTCCTTCCCTTCCTTCCTTTCCTCCCTCCATTCCCTTCTACCCTCCCATCCATCCATCCATCCATCCATCCTTCTCTTCCTCCCTCTCTCCCTTCTCTCTTTCCTTCCTCCTTTCCTCCTTGAGGATGTTTAGTTGGGAGAAGAGAAGGTAGAGAGGGAACATGAGAACCATATTTCAAGATTTAAAAGGATGTCCCATTGAGGAGGGAGGGGGAAAACTGATTTTCTGCTGCTCTAAAGACCAGGGCACAGGGAGCAATGGTTTTGAATGGCGGGTAAAGAGCTTCAACTGAAAAGTTTAGGAAGAACTTCCTGGAGAGTTTCATAGGCTGCCTCAGAGTGTAGTGGAGTCTCCTTCTCAGGAGGCTTTTCCACAGAGGCTGTCTATTGGGAGTACTTTGATTGTGCCTTCTTGCATGGCAGGGGGTTGGACAGGATGGCTCTTGGGGGTCTCTTCCAACTCTAGGATTCTAGTATAATATGTTAGGAGTAGGCAATATGGGGTCTAATGGATACACTTTTTCTGGAGGAAATTTTTGAAGTCCAACATAGATAAAAGACTCCTGGTACTTATGATTGCTCTATATGATGACTCCTCAGTCAAAGTGAGACTTGGAGAGAACCCCTCCCTTCCAACCCACCATGTGGCCCCTAAGTTAGAAAGTTTGCCCATGCCTGATATTTAAGCAATATGCAATTTGTCACACAATAAACAAAAGTGCAATTAACAGCAGCAATTAACTACCTAGGATACCTTTCATATTGAAGATGAGGAATATTTATTTATTTATTTATTTATTATTTATTTACTTTGCTTATATACCGCTGTATCTCAAGCCCGAAGGCGACTCACAGCGATATCTGGGGCGAGGAAAGGGAAAAAAGCAGATCATGTATTTTTGAATGATAATGGACACACACAAAATACAAACATCCATCCATATCATTCACTAATATAATGAAGAGTTGCTTTGCTATATTGAATATACCGTGACTTTCAGCATTTCTCATAACCATAACTTCATTTCCCAGGTTTTCCATTGGTGCAGGACTTCAGCATCTCTTTTCCCATTGCTGGATGATTTTTGGACCCTTTCCCTATGGCAACATTATTTCAAGAAGAAAATCTTTATGCCGTCTTCCAAATAAAGAGACAAATAAAATATTTTCATAGGTCAATTGCTACATCTTGTGTTGTAATCCATTCTGTTTGCTAAAAAGTTTCTATCTAGAGCAAGCATACCACTTCCCACTCCTATTAAAATATTCCCAGTATCCCCCATTCTTTCCAACAGCAGTGGGTTGTAGAATTGCTTGTATAATTCAAATGCACCGGAGTAAAAATTTACCCGTGAAATATAATTTAAGACAGTGTTATCTAACTGTAGCAGAACATCGTAGGGGCCAATGTTACTTACAAGGTCTCAACATTTTTTTTATTAATAATAATACTAAGACCTTTCTTCCAGACATTATTAATCTTCTGGATTACCAAAATGAATATGTAGTAAGGCATTATTCTGCCTGAATGATGATGTCTGAAAATCTCAACATTATTTGATGGCCTCTTTGCTTGCATTTTTTTCAGGATAGTTTTGAAAAAGAGAGAGATTTGGTAAATGTGAATTTGCAACTACACTCTTGTGTGAACCCGCTACACAGAAAGTTGTACTTCCATTTTTAGATCTGCTCCCACAACCAGCCCAACAATTTTTAATCTATACAGGTTAACTATTTTCCAACATATTATCATTTCAATTCTTTGATTTCACTTTCCAATTTCTCCTCCAAAAGCTGAAACAACTTTTGACTTCAGCAGCAGCCACTTGTGTTTTCCCCACTGTATACCAATGCACATGTTTTTGCTTGCTCTGCTTTGATTTGTGAAAATAAATATGGGCTTA